CACACACACACACACACACACACACCGCGGCGGTGTATAGATCCACGATCAAGGGTGGATCCATTCGCACCCGGCCAGGCTGTTGAGGCTCAGCCTCCTGATGAGTCGGTGCGAATCCGACGAAACAGTCTGGTGCAGTCATGTCTGCCCGTTCGTTCGAAACGAACGGGCACTAAAAAGCAAAAAAATCTAAACCGAAAAAAAAACAAATCCTAAAAAAATCTAAACGAAATCTAACCAGAAAAAACAAAAACAAAAAGAAAAGGAAAAACCCTACCTACGTGGATGCCCGTTTCTAACGGGCGCCTGTCATTTCACTGGGAACTTTAAGTTCCCAGTCACCTAAGGACGCGCCACATGGCGCGTTGTTTTGTTTTACTCTGTTTATTTTATTTTTTTTCTCTCTATTGTTTTTTTTTTTTTTTTTTTTTTTTTTTTTTTTAAAAAAAAAAAAAAAAATGGACCATTTTTCGATTTATGCGTGTCGTCCTCACGTAGGGGCCACTTCGATCCGAGCGCGGCAGATCTCAGCCGTGCAATCTTGAGGATCGCGCGGCCGGGATTGGCCGCGCCCAACTGCTTTGGGCTGCTCCAAAAGGAGCTTTGCCCAGTAGCTTAGCATGTCAGATTCGTTCTCGGTATCTGCCGGGTGAGAGTTTGGTATGGTAACCTACTGGGCTAGCTCCTATCACGACAGTTATAGGAGCAACTCTCCTATAAGAAGAGCTAGGCCCAACCAATGTCCCCCCCCCCCGCTCTGCGGCCTTGCAGGCCCAGTTGGTCGCGTGACCTTGGCATCGGCCTATCACCCTCCTGGCTCGGCGTCAAGCCCCGCGGCCCTAGAATCAAACTCCCCTTCCTATTCCCCCTGCGTCGCAGACTTATACCCGGCGCACACCTCTTTTTAGCTTACTTAAGCCCTGAATCGCGCGGCTGTTATATTTTAGGTAGACTAGGTCTAACTCTAGTTTTTCCATGCCCGCACACTATTGGGGCTTCGTCGAGAACTGCGGACAACAGCGCGTACCGCGAACCCCCGTTGTCTCGAACAGACGTCGAAGACGTCACACGTCAGCGACGTCTTACGTCGACAACGTCAGGCTTTAAGTCTTTCAGTTATAAGGTTGGCCTGAATAAACTTTGGCAACGTCAATCTCATCATGTCGCCCAATCCAACAAAAAGTCGGACAGCGTCTGACCTTGAAAAGTTCGGGCAGAAACCCTCACACGCGTTTCTGTCCCGACAACGCGACCCTTAGAAAGTTTGGCCATTGGTTGGGCCTGCTATCGGTCCACTTGGCAAGAAGATTTGTGATGGTGCTATGCCCCCTCTCTACAGGTGCGTTGGCTTGAGGGTGCGCTGCAGTAGTGTACTCAGCGATTACCCCATACTTCTTCAAAAGAGCCTTCACTTCTGCACATGTGAACTCGGACCCTCTATCCATCACGAATCTGGACACAAAGGGGTAGCGAAGATAGTACTCTTCGATGCATCGTGCCAATGTCTCTCCAGTCTTCGTGCGAATGGCCCTGCCATCCACAAACCCCGAGAGGTTGTCTCGTGCATCAAAGATGAAATTGTAGCTTCCTATCCCCAACGACATTGCCAATAGATCCAAGTGCACGACGGCTCCAACCTCACGAACGTACCTTGGGTGCAGCGGCTCCCTGGGTCTGAGAGCAGACCGTTCCTGGCATGGCACGCAAGACTTACAGTACTCGTCGATCATCTGCCCCATGCCATCCCAGTAGTACAGTTCGTGTATCTTCAGATACGTCGTATCTGCACCCCTGTGGCCACCTGCCGTACCGTTGTGCAGCGCCGCCATAATATCAATCTGACGGGCGAGGCCGCAAACTACTCTTCTGGGATCTCCTCCTTTACTTCTCATGAACAGATGGCCGTCTCTTACCAGGAAACTTGGCCTCATCTTCAGAACCCGCGCGCAGGCATCCCTTTCCCTCATCTCGCACGAAAGAAGCATGCCGAGTTCAAGGTATACTCCCTCGTATTCCTCTGCTCGAAATGATTCTTTAATCTCACCTTCCTCAAAGTCATCATCCTCCCTCTCATGGATCACATTGTCACCTCCTCCCGGCTCTACCACCTCTTCCTGATCTAGTACTGTATTTCTGACCGTCTCTTCCTGAAGCAGTGCATTTGCCAACAGGTACACCCCACCTATCATCTTCTCGTGCTTACCCACCTGTAGCGGCCCATTTTCAATTATAAGCGGGTCTTCCTGCAGCTCGTACTTGCCAGCAAAAGCCAGCTCCATCATCCAACCTACGCCCGACATTCCCCAAGAATCCTCTTCAATATAAGGTTTGAGGACCAAGTCTGGGCGTCGCACATGTCCTGGAGGCACAAGCCATACGGGCCGCCCAGGAGTAACATACTTACCTACGGCCAATGCCCAGGAGTTGATGTGAAGTCTCACATCCTCCTCGCTGTCCAGGAACCCGTCGACTGGTGGAGTGTCCTCGATCACTCCTTGATGGTTCTTGTCCCAGTCGACTCGGCTCAGCCCGTCCGCCCTATTCTTCGTCCCAGGAATTCGTTCCAACTCGAAGTCAAACATCCAGATGTACGTCAGCCATCTGGCGATAGTTGGATCTGACGGAGCAAAGTTCTTGAGAGAACCAGCCAGAGCCGTAAGCGTACACCCTCAATACGAACCTATTGCCAAAGAGGTAGTTGCTGAAGATCCTCAAACAGTGAAGAACCGCCAGGGTTTGGCGCTTGAACTGAGAGTAGTTCCTTTCAGACGTATTGAGCGTCCGACTTTCAAACCTTAGTGGTCGTTCCTCCCCATTGGGATCTCGCTGGATTAACACACCTCCCAGCGCAGTTGGCCCTGCATCTGTCTCTACGATGAACGACCTGGTCATCACCGCCGCATGGTCCGGTACCCCTAGTACTAGACCTCCTTCCTCAAACTCCTTCTTCAGGTTTTTTATCACCGACTCTTTTCTGTCTCCCCATTCCTAGTCTTGTCCTTGACGCACGAGCTTTCGTAATTGCTCCGTCTTTGCCACAAACCCCTTAATAAACATCCTCCAAAACCCACACGTGCCTAGAAAACTTCTCACCTCCGTGATAGTCTGGAACGGTGTTGGCCATTCGAGAATCTTGTTAGTCTTCTTAGTATCTGGCCGACGACCCCTCTCGTTGCACACAAATCCTAAGATAGTGGCACCACTCCTGCAGTGCCTCGATTTTGGCCCACTGGCAGTGAGGTTATGCTCCTTCAAGAGATCCAGGACCTTGCACAAGTCTTGCACATGATCCCACACAAAGCGCCTGATTCTTGGCATCACCTCCTGCTCATCCTTCTCTTTGGGCCCTTTCACGGCCAGATCATCAATGTAGGGCTGCGTGATGTGAGGACTTATGGGCTGCATCGCCCTCACCATGTGTCGCTGGACCATAGCGACCGCATTCGTCCACCCCTGCGGTGCGACGTTCATGTGGATCAGCCCTCGAGGGGTATGCATGGCTGTCATAGGCCGGTCCGACGGGTATACAGGGAACTGATCGTAGCCTGAATACAAGTCAATGAGTGAAATAATGGCCCTCCCAGCGCATGCCTCTGAAAGCGCATCAGCGTTAGGGAGACCACCTGCGTCCCTCACTGTCGCAGCGTTCAGGTGCTGCAAATCCTGCACCCACCTCAGGGTCCGATTGGGCTTGACAAAGCAAAACCAGGGGGACGCATACGGACCACTCGAGTAATCTGCCACATGAGTGCGGATCTTCCCATCGAGGTAGTTGACCACCTTCTCTTCATCGACTGGATTAGGGTACCGCGCGCCTCGCAAGTTCCACGGCTTGTGAGGTACGGTGCGTATCCTAATCATAGGGATTATATCCACGTCCAGACGGCCTCTCTCATCATCACTGAAGGCATATGTCGCATGCCTTCCTCTTATGGCCTCCACCACAAGCTTTTCCTCCTGCGGAGTAAGGAAACCAGGTTCCCCTACAATCAGCGTATTTTCTGTCTCGGGATTGATACGGCACGGCCCAGTCTCCGCTTTCTCTCTCATCTGCCGTATCTATTCTCGTTCCCGCTCGTAGTATACTTCTTGCTCTTCGGTAACGAGTACGGGAACAGGGCGGCACTTCTGGTCTACCCTTTTGTACCGCCTTTGTGCTCCCTGCTTGAGCCCACCCCTAAAAAAGGCCGAGTTGCGCTCTGGGGTTGCGCTCCACTCTCTCCACCTGTCTGACCAGGTGTTCGATATACCAATTCCATCTCTCCTGCACCCATTTGCTCCACTACCTTCTCTCTCAAGGCCTCCACAGCCTCATGATCTGCTATCCCATAGGTCGATACTATGTCCATAGCGTCGCCTATGTTCGCCAAGCTTAGAGTCAGCGCCTCTGGCTCCCTTACCTCCTCAAGCCTGCTGTTCTCAATCCATAACCTTTCTTCTTCTGATTCTTCGATTGTGAATGAACCGGGGTTAGGCCGGTTCCTTACACTCTTGGGTCCTGTGTTCTTGCAGGTGACGACCTCGTAATTCCCACATACGGGGTCGCACAGGACGAGGAACATAGTTCCGTCATGTTTATTGAGGATGACCGTCTCGGTCTGACTTAGGAACGACCTACCCAGTAGGATAGGGTGGTCCAAATCAGGCATCACGAAGAAACAACTTCTTACTTTTACCTCCCAATCTCTAGAATCACAGACGATGCGGTCCCTGTGAAGATCGACCGACTGTTTGCTCCCATCAGAACCCCGTTGTCGGAGCGATCTACCTCCATCCCTAGACGCACTGCATCTGCCTCCTTTATGAGGTTCATTTCTGCGTCGCTATCCACCATTGTTGTGCACGTCTTCCCTTTTACCACAACGTCGAGGCAGCCACAGGCGACAGACTTCCAGTCCATCTTAGTACCCGTTTCAGCCCACTCCGCCTCCTTAGGGATTATAGTCCCCAATCGTATGCTGGCTACCATCTTCCTGGATAGTCTTGCTCTTAACTCATCCCTAAGTATAGGCGCTGAGGCTAGTACGTCCTTCAGGTTCATAAGGTGATTATGACCCTCTAGGATTCTGTCCATTATCTCTTCCACATCGAAGCCTTCTTCCGCTCGGACAGCGTACTTCTTCTTCTTTACTTCTTGTGCCTTGTCTGTATCAGGCCTGGCACCCCTCTTCTTGGCTCTTTGCTCGGCCCTCTCATCCTCTTCCTTCCTCAACCTATCATCTTCGTCATCCTCTCCTTCTGGAACGTCCACTACCTCTTTCTCTCCACTGGGTTCAGGAACATCCTTGGCCGGTTCTTCGGGGCTCATCGGCCCTTTAGCCCTCGTCCTGACAGCATGAGGCGCCCTCCCCGTCCTAGAGGGTGGTCTAAAGGTCATTCCGGATCGAGGCGTCGCTCCTGAGGTCGTGACGTTTGGTAGATTCCCGAACCCTCCTTGCGACCCCGGACCTAAGTCGTAGAGGTATACCGATGGCTCCTTACCTTGCCACCCCTTGACTTCTTCGCACATATCAGCCAGCTTCTGTTGGTATCTCCCGACTTTGTCTATCAGGTCCTCCATTCTCTCCATTGTCTGTCGGGCCGTTCTCCAATAATCTTCCCTTGTCTCAACATGCAGCGGCCTGTTCCAGCAATCTTCCTCAATCTCATCGTCGAACTCCACTGTGATCGGTTCTTAGTGGTGCCCGCCTTCTTTTCTTGCTCCACCTCTGCGTTCTCTCCTACCTCCTCCACCCTGACGCCACTACGGACCTCTTTCTCTTGCCATATCCGAAACATGGCTGGAGGTGCGGGTGGCTCACCGGCCTCAGCCCTTCGCATGGCTTCCTTCATCGTACCGCCTGGAATCTTCAGGTCAAGGTGGTACCCCCACTTGTCGTACATGTCTCCATCATAGTTGGTGCTAATTAAACCTTCGTCCTCGTCGTTCCTCCTGACGTGGCAGAACTTAATAGTGTGGCCTTTCTGCCCACAATGCCAGCAAATGGCATTTCTCCAGTCCACTCTCCCTCTGCCATCACCTCTTCCCCCCTCTTGACCGCCTTGACTCCCGGATGCCGTCCAACCCTCGTTTCTGCCACCTGAAGTGTTACCACCACCATTCCCTCTACCATTTCCTCCACGGCCACCATTCCCCCGTCCTCGGCCCCACCCTTGGTTCTGTCCACGTCCACCCCCTTGATTGCCTTGCGAACCTTGTGGGGCTGACTGCTGGGGTTGGTTTGGCGGTGGGTTCGGGTGGCTCACTTGTTGCGCTTGGGGTCCCGAGCAGCCACAGGAAGCCGCGCTCACTGATGGTCCGGCGCACGACCCATGCGGCCCGCTCATTGGCCACGGGGCATATGAACAGTGCCCATGCCAATGACTCGAAGGTCCACAATCTGGCCATGGCCCATAGTGAGCTGATGCAGCCTGACTGGGCGACTCAGGAGGTGGCATGGCTACAGTTTGCGGGACCTGCCCCTTTCCTGAGCCCTGCCCCCCTTGAGCCAAGTTCCTTGCCTTTCTCTGAGCCTTGGTCAACTTCTGTGGCTCAGGCTCCTCTTCCTCTTCCTCTTCTTCTTCCCCTCCACCACTGCTTTCTTTGCCTTCCCTTGGGTCTGTGGTACCGCCATGGTTTTCCTTTTTGCCTCTTTCTCTGCATCGAGCTGGGCCACTGCATCTTCTATCAGTTTCTTAAAGTCTCGCCCGCCGCTCGTCGTGGCGTCCAAGGCCTTTCTTTTCTTCCTAGCCTGTCGCATTCGGAAGATGTCTACTTGGTCCAGCTCTCCTTCTATTACACCCTCCTTTATGGTGGCCCAAGTGAGCTTCTTTCCTGGCGCAACCTTCTTGGTTAGCGACGAGGCCTCCCAATTCTTAAAGTGCCCTAGGAAAGTGGCACACTGCTCCTCTTCTGCCAACCCTGAGACTTTCTTTGCCATTTTCTCAAACGCCGTGGCGAAGGCCCCCACTGTGCAGAACTCGTCCCGTCTCAACATTTCCAAGTCTTCTTTGGTGAGCAGGCCGTCACCTAACTTGAAACGTCTCTGCATCTCCTCTTTAAACTTTGCCCACTCACCATTTGCGTCGACCGCTACCTTCATTACCTCAGGTCTAAGCTCCCACCATACATACCTAGGCATCAACTTGAATTTGTCTGCTTCTGACGCCTCGCTAGTGACCTGCTCCAGCAACTCAAGCCACTCGGACACTCTATCCCCGTTGACGTGAAAATGTTAACCTTGGGCACCTGAAGCCGTGCCATCTCTCTTTTTTCCAATGCCTTGACGAAGTCCTCAGGTGTAGCACCCGGGCCCCGCTCGATTTCGACAGCGTCCGCCATCTTTACGTTTTCTCAAACACCTGTTGAGGGACGAAAGGTTTTAACAAAACAATCGGCCGTCAAGTCTTTAACTTGCCTACTTTCACCACTCAACTACTATCTAAAGTAACCTATCAGGTCTATATTATTACTTTGACCCTATCGCTGAAACGGATACTCATAATGCACACTTCCGACCTTACTTACAATTAAGGCAGACAGATCTGACGTATCATTGAGAAAGCCACCATACTCGAATCATCGTCAAGGAGAAAAACCTTTCCATCAAAGGTTGTCATTTTACCTGGATGATCAGCCTGCTCTTAACCTGGGTTCGTTCACTGTGGACCCCGGTAGGCAGCCGAGATCCCCAGCAACGGCGCCACCTGTCGAGCGCATCGGTCCCGCACGGGGACCCTCCCGGCCGCGTCACGCAGGATTGTGCAGGACTTGTCGCGGAGAGCGTTTGCCGCTCCGGCCGAGTGCGCCAGCCGTACCTCTCGCGAGTCCCTACGACAGGACCAAGTCACGCGAGGCACCGCTACCTTCACCTGCGGGAGCTGTCACCATCCCTTGGGTGGGCGTATCCCTGTCGAGCTATTGAACCACATGCGAAAGCTTTTCATATGCAATTGCAGAGGTGGCCCAGCCGAGGGCGTTTCTCGTTCGCTGTAGCATAGGGGGTACGCGCGGTCGAACGCCCGAAATCGAACCCGTACACGAGTCGTCATACTGGGGGGCTGAAGTACCAGACACGATTCGGCGCCGGTCAACTAGGACGCACTACACACCCACGCGTTACACTACAACACCCACGCTTACCCATGCGTAACATACGGACACACACACAACAATCTCCGCAAATGACACCACAACACGACAACACTCCTAGTCCCTTCAGTATCCGCCCCATAACTCTACGCAGTGGAAGTCGGTAACTGCCTTGCGCGAGGTTTAGTATAAGAGCGCGCGAACGTAGGACCCACGCATACCGATTTGTAATGCAGTCCTACGCAGATAAAAGCGATGACGACACATTATGTGGTGCCCATACCCGAATGGCCTATTCTGGGCTATGGGGTGGCTCCCGACACTCAGGCGTTGGCTGAAGCGCGCGCTAAGGGGAGGTAACTCTTTAGCGGGCGCAAAACCGGGCTGAGGCCCTTTCCGTCTTCTGCACCCTGAGGTGTCTCAAAGGGTGCAGGGTAAGACGGCCCCTAGGGCAGAAAGGAATTTGGAGCGGTGGTGAGTCGTCAGGCGCATCACCAGCGACACGCTAACCCTTCCGTCCGGAACCTTATCGTTCCACCAAATTAATTTTCAACAAGGACAAATAAATAATAATAAAAAACAACTGTTCTCAACAGCAACAGAAAGGACACCGTCGGGATTAGCCCTGTGGGGGTTACCCGAACGTACGCTTACTTCATCAGGACAGGTACAAATTAGTCTCACTCAAGCACAAAGGTTGTGGGGTAGTCCACTCTCACGAAGGTTATGTGGGTTGCCCATCTGAATCCAAGACACGATCACTCAACATAACTCAGATGATAATCTTCCATACATACCTGCAATCACATCACAGAATCAAGCAAAGATCCACACGCTACACGGGGTCAACTCCAACCAACCTCTCCACTCATACCCTGTGCTTCAACCATGCAAGCCCCAACCTCCAGCCAACCAACCATAAGTAAGTACTAAGTACTTTTGTTAAATGGCCATTCAATAAAAGTCTGGGTGAAACCTTAACAAAACAAATAAAATCACCAGGGCTAAAACCTTTTTAGGCTGAGTATTGAGGGTGAATTGGGGTTGAGTCGTCGACCGACGAATCGGCAACCGACCTGTTATCTGCGATAACAGAAGAGTAATCCTTTTCACGAAATAGCTTGATTAGATCAAGCCTTCAGATGGTAACACGGAAACCTGCATCACAGTACAGGCCAAAGGAAAGTACTACATATACCTGTGCCAAGGGGAGAACATTCCCCTAGTCGCATCCTAGCTCCTCTACTAGTACCAAGTTACTGAGTATCTCCTCTAATCAGGCTGGATCTGTTAGGTGGCTCCCAGCTGCAAAATATTCAGAATATTCCCCTAGTCGCATCCTAGCTCCGTAAATTCTACGAAATTTCCGCAGCGCTTTCCGTAGGGAAAGTGTCTTTTCAGAAATTCTGTAAGCCCAAAAATAACTAACTCCTCCAAATTTGTAGAAATTTTGGCAGCGTTTCCCATAGGAACAAGAGGCTGCCAAGATTTATACAAAGTCGGAAAAAACAGAAAGACAAAGCAACTATACTTGGGACTAACTTCCGACATCTGCGTAAGGATTCAGACTCAATGGCAACTAGCACAACCTCTAGATGAGACCGTGGGCTGGCATTGGGCCTAACTCCTAGCAGGGCCAGTCCTACCTTCATCCCAAGTTTTCCCTCCTAACATCCATCTGATCTACCTATGGCTCCAGCACTTGGCGAGCGTCTAAAGCAACTAACCTATCAAAAAGACGCCCCAAGCGAGAGCCCACAAGCATACATAACCATGCATCTCTCACAATCCCACATTAGTTTGCCCAAGTAGTTCGTTGAATTATTCAGTTCTTCCCTTTAGTAAACCCCCTCACTTATGGCATAGGATCAGACAAGGCCCTAACTTAAGCGTATGCCCAACCTGCCTAAGTAAACAAGTAAGAGTACGCACAATTGAACTGCCCTAACTTAAGGGTATGCC